AATACCATATCGAAACCTTCAAGCTGAACTTGAGCAGCCATTGATGAGGCTGTGAAGTTCCATAAGGAGAATATCAAAGTATACTCTTGAGATTGTATTGTAGAAGATGATTGATTGATTGCATTGATCACCCAAGAGGTGTATATATACATGTGAGATTGTCAATCTAGTGGAGAAAGAAAAGAGTAACTAACAACTTAACAATCTAACAAACTAACAAACTAATTAGTTACATAACTAACTATGACACCACTAACTATAAAATGGAAAGTAACTAACTAACTAACTACTTGAAATAAGTAATGTACATGTTTAATTATGAATGTTAATAAAAACCCTTCACTTGATTTTCTTAAATTAATTTTTACCCAGAATCATCAATCATTTTTCATGAAACTCCACGCAACATAAACGATTTTATCTATTAAATCCAAGAAAGAAAACCTCAAAACGAAGAAATCATAAAACCCCCTAATCAGCATACAAAAAACTGATCCATCAAACCAGTAATCAAAGATATACAATAACACAAAACAAGATAAAACCCACTACTCCAACAGTAAAAAAAAACAGAGAAAGACTCACAAGTTTGAAGGAATGAGAAATCGAGTTACGAGCAGGGAGAGTTGTATGATTCGAGATATTAGAAAGTATCAGTCGTTTCTTGGCCGCTCGAGCGATTATCAATTTACCGGTCTGATTTTTCTCCACCGCCGATGAATTGGCTGCCAATCCGCCATTGCTTGTCTCTTCGCCACCTTGAAACTGACGAACGCCAAATGATCGAAAAATGGGAAAAACTTGTGATCGTTAAATTAGATTCTCGTTTGAATTGGACAGGTTCAATTTTTAATTTTATTTTTTAAAATATTCTTATTTTCTTTTATCTTTTATTTAAATTAATTTAACGCACATTCTTTTTATCGGAACTTTTATTTTAACCTTCATTCAATATTTTTTTTCTTTTATTTTTCTATTAATTTTATTTTCTTTTTTTTGATTCAGTTTCAAATTTAATTTTAAATGTCTTATATTTAAAAATAAGTTAGTTTTAAATGGATTTCAAAATAAGTGAAGAAATCAAATAAAATATTAAAAAAAATGTTAAAATTAAAAGAAACCTTTAAATTATTTTAAAAAGTAAAATAATAAAAAGTTAAAAGCTAATAAATTAATTAAAAAATTTAAAGTGAAAAGAAATTAAATAAATATTTTAGAAAGAATGAAATAAAAATAATTTAATATATATAAATTTTAATATCAATAAATATGTGTATTAATTAATCATAAAGTTACCAATCAAAATATGACATGTGTCAAATTTGTACACTTATCACTTACTTTCAAGAGAGGGTGTGCGAACTTGCTATGTCATATCAATATTTTTAGTGTATTTATTCAATTTTGAATTAGTTTAGGAAGGTGGACCTTAGCTAAGTTTATGTGTATCTTCGAAATTTCGATCATATTTTTTAATAATATTTTTAAAATTTATGGTCTATATTTATATTAATTTACGAGGATACTTATGCCTAATCCTAAATAATTTTTGCGAAAAATATAACTAAACACAACTATCAAAAAACTCCTCCGTAAATCTAACTAAAATGAAAAATATTTGTATTCTACAAGCATACGTCTGCTAAGACTATTAATTTGAAATTTTGAAATTACATTTGTAGATTATTTTGATTTAGATTCTGTTGATTAAACCAGCCACATTTAAAAAAAAAAACCTTCCTGAAATTCATTAAACTGTATTTTTATGTCCAAACACAATTAAAAAAAACAAACATATTTTAGGTCTTATCTCTAAGCACTTACATTTTAATTTATGTAAGACATTTTTAATTTATTCAATTCTGAAAAGAAAGGGAAAATACCCTAGTACCCCCTCAACCTATGCCCGAAATTTCAGAGACACATTTATACTATACTAAGGTTCTATTACCCCCCTGAACTTATTTTATATGTAATTTTCTACCCCTTTTTAGCCTACGTGGCACTAGTTCGAAAAAAAAAGTCAACCATCGTTGGGCCCACAAAATAGTGCCACGTAAGCTAAAAAGGGGTAAAAAATTATTAATAAAATAAGTTCAGGGGGTAATAGGACCTTAGTATAGTATAAGTGTGTCTCTGGGATTTCGGGCATAGGTTGAGAGGGTACTTGGACATTATCCCCTGAAAAGAATGAAGTTTTTTCTTGATTGACAAATATTTAATAAAATTATCAATTTTTGCTTATATTAGGTCTCACTTATTTGACAAAATGTTCACTAATATTATTCTTCTATTTAAAAATTCATTTCTCAAAGATAAATTTGATACTTATAATTTTTTTTTATATTTCTTAATTTTATGTTTAGTCAATTTAAATAGATGACATTAATAGGAAGAAATGGAATAATTACTCCTAAACTATAGGTTACATAAAAAGGTCTGAACTATATCTGAATTTTGATCGAAATTGTTATTACGATACTAAACTTTATGAAAGATCTTTTATCCTGGTACACTATTTAATAGTGTATTTTAAAAGTATATATGTATTCACGTGAATATCATAAATATTGCATAACTATAAATAATAAAATGTATACGTGAACACATATATACCTTTAAAATATACTATTACATAGTGCAGGGGGTAAAAAGTCCTCTAAAAAATTTGATAACTTAATTGTAATTTCGGCCAAAGTTAGAGTATTTTTCAGATCCCTTTTCCAAAGAAATATATAACAAACACGTGGCTAATATCTTGTTAACTTAAATCGATACTTATACATACAAGTATTATTATTATCATGTGTAGTTAAATATTTTATGTCTTATAAGAATTATTTTATGAAGTTAAATATTGAGAATAATTGTCAAAAATACACCTAAATTATTTCTTTTTTTAAAAAAATTATTTTTATACCTAAACTATTGAAAGTTTGAATTTCATAACTAAACTACCATTTTTAGTTTGAGAAACATACCCAGTGGGGTGTGTAATGCGCTCTATCTTTTGTTTGAAAAGATCTTGACACGTGACAGTCGACATGGATAAAATATTATCCATTGACAAAAATTAAATAATAAACTTTTAATGAAAAAAATGGGGAAAATGATTGTTAAATTCATCCCCGTTTGAATTTATTTTTAATTTATGGGAAAATGCACAAGTACCCCTCAATCTATGCCCGAAATCTCAAAGGTACACTTATACTATACTAATGTTCTATTAGCCCCTTAACTTATTCTATAAGTAATTCAACCCCTTTTCGGCCTACGTGGCACTAGCATGAAAAAAAAGTCAATCAGCGTTGGGCCCACAAGATAGTGCCACATAGGCCGAAAAGGGGTAGAAAATTATTAATAAAATAAGCTCAAAGAGTAATAGGACCTTAGTATAGTATAAGTGTGTCTGTGAAATTTCAGGTATATATTAAAGGGGTACTTTTGCATTATTCCTTAATTTGTTGCAATTAGTTCAGTTTCATACTAAAGATGTGACAAGATAACTGCCCGTACATCTTTATCGAAACTTTTTTTTCCCTTGGCTCATTATTTTTTCTCTTTTATTTCTATTAATTTTATTTTCTTTGACTTTTGTTTTGATTTGATTTGAGATTTAATTTCAAACGTTTTGTATTTAAAATAAGTTAATTTTAAATGGATATAAAAATAAGTGAAGAAATAAAATAAAATATTATAAAAAACTAAAACGTTAAAATTAAATGAAACTTTTAAATTATTTTAGGAAAAATGCACAAGTACCCCACTCAACCTATGCCTGAAATCCCAGAGACCCACTTATATTATACTAAGGTCCTATTACCCCCTGAACTTATTTTATAAATAATTTTCTATCTCTTTTCGGCTTACGTGACACTAGCTTGAGAAAAAAAATTCAACCAACGTTAGGCCCACAATAGGTTACATGTGTGGGTTCTTGTCAATTTTAAAAAAGTGAGCCGGTAAGTGATGCATTCACTCAGCTCCTTGTCTTAGTTGTTTCACAACTAGGTACTATTATTACATCTAATTTTTTCAATACAATTTCTGATTGTTTAATTTTGTCTTTGATTCCTGTTTGACACAATATTTGTCAATTTGTAATTGAGATTGAGTTTACGTATTAAATTATGGACTATTATGTGTAGATCAATGTTTTAGAATTTGACATAATGGAGATGATGAGAAAAATGAGTTGATATGGTATTTGTGAGGATATATTTAAGTTATCAGATACATAATTAAGAGTTTTTGCATTGGAAGAGATAGGTTATTGTTTTGTAAAATAATTGGGTTGTGCACAATATGTTATTAAAGACAGTGACGGAGCTATAAATTTCACGAAGGGTGTCCAAGTAAATCTGTTCTTCTTAAAAAGTGAATTTTTTTTTGCAACTAGTGAGATTCGAACATACAAACACTTTAAGTTCTTACTCTTTCAGGGCGCCTAAAATAACTAGATTACATCATATTATTGTGTCAAGGGTGTCCAAAATATGTTATTTAGTCACTGCATGTGGTGTTACCTACGGTTATTGCATGAAAAATCTTTTCAAATCTGTTATTTTGTCTTTTCTTGTATAATGCAATTGAAGGTTGTTGCCTTTGCTTGAAAAAGGAGACAAAAAAAGAATTGAATTGAGCTCCCGTGAATAATCTTTGTAGCTGAGTTGTTCAATTTCAAAGCCAGTTCTCATTTCCTTTTAAAGAAAGAAAGAAGATCTGAATTCTCGTAGTTTGGCTGTCACGGATTATGATAATTGCTATAGTTGAAGGGAATTGTGAGAAAGCTGCTACATTAGATTACGCCAGAAAGACCTTATCAATAACCTTTTAATAAATAAAAGAATTGAGTTTTTTAATGGCGACTTTAGGAACTGGAAAACAATTTATTGAAAGATGGAATCAAACTTGAGTTTATTTCTATTATTTTCATCTTTATTGGTTAAATGCTAAAACTTACACCTTTTATCTTTGGATCTATTTGCTTGTTTTTTTACTTATGCTTTACTCTATATACCGAAATTTCTTTGTATTTTATGTTTTTACGAATACTAAATTTCTACCTTGTTCATCTGATCTAACAGGGCAAGTCGGAGATCACAACAAATAAGACTATATCTTGGTTGACCTCCAATTTGATTCATAGCAATGTGTTAATATGTAAATACAAAATACATAGATATCGTTAAATTTATGGATGTAAATTTAAATATATTGTTCACTGTTAAATTAGTATTATGGGTTTTTTTTTTAAAAAAATGACTTTAAAGAGTCATTAGTGTGAGGTATAAAATATAACAATTTCAGAATAAAATGTAAAATTATTTTATTTCATGTTTAGTTGGAGATATTAGGTAGTACTTGTCTTATTTATTTCATAAGTTTTGTCATAGTAATAAAATATATAATAACTTATGTATTGTAAGTTAATTTTCGAGATTAATTATTTAAAATAACTTGTTTCCAGTCAAATAATTCTAGCTTTAAATTTCCATTATGTTGGGCTTATGTTGGACTCATGCTTGCGCGGGCTAATCTCTACTTAATATATATGGGTAAATCACATAAATATGTTATATTATAAAAATATTTACCATCTATATCAACATAATTTTTTAAACTAAATATAACTTTTTTTAGAATTAAGAAAATCCTACAACTCCTCTTTTCTCAACCCTTTTTCCATTTTTTATTTTCATTGTTCTTCTTCTTTGTCTCTTTTTGTCTTTTATTCCTATGCTTCTTTTTCCTTTCTTTTTTTACTCCTCTACTTCTTCGTCTCTTTCTTATGCGTTTTTTTATCTTCTTCCTTTTCTTTTTCTTTTTCTTCTTTGAGTGTTTCATCTAAGAATCCATCCTCAATCAGTTTTTGCTCATATGTCACTATTTTTATCCAAAAACAAACTGAAAAGAGGAATAAAAAGACCAAAAATTTGTACAAAATCATGTTTTTAAGTAGAAATTTGAGATATCTAAAATTACAGAAACAAGAGTTCACCATTGATGGTCATTATAAAGCTTCAAATTTTGAATTTTATGGATTTGTGATTAATTTGGATAGGTAGTTCCTACAAATAATTAAAAATGTCGTTTGAAATTTATATCTCAATTTTAAGAGGGTTTAATTAAGTTTATAATTAATTTTGAAAAAAATTAGATTGAAACTCGAAAAAAAGTGAAGTTTGTGGAACTATATCGCAATTGTATTAAAGTTGTATTATAAATACATTTATAACAGAGACACAATACATATTGCAAACATCACTCATGTTCTTAGAGAATCAAACCAAAATAATTTATAAGATACTTATAATACATAATTTATTCATGAATAATACAAGTTTAATTCAATCTATAAATTATTGTTTTGTCTTTCGTTAGTTATGTTTTTAATTTTTAATTTTTTCTTCTAATTCAATTTTAATATTGTGTAATACACTTTTAACGCAAATTTAATTCATGTTGTAGTTTATTATTTGTTACTATTCGATTACTTGTTTAATTCGTTATTGATATAAACTTAATTCACTTTATAGATCATTGTCTAGTATTTCATTAGTTACATTTTTTTATCCATGCATAATTCTCTCTTCTAATTCAACTTTAATATTTTTTTAATTCACTTTTAATGCAAATTAATTCATTTGGAATTTATTGATTGATTTGTTATGATTGAATTACTTGTTTAATTCATTATTGATGTAAGTTTTATTCGTTTTACAAATCACATTGTGCTCTTTCGTTTGCTTCATTTTGAAATCATGTTTATTTCGGTTCTAATTCAACTTTAAAATGAGTGTAATACATTTTTAGTTTAAATTTAATTCATTTAGCCGTTTATTCTCTGCATTTCTTACGATTAGATTACTTGTCTAATTAATTATTGATTTATATTTTATGTAGCTTACGAATTAGAGAGTAAAATAAATAATTATTTTTTAAAAGAAAGTCACTCAATATAAACTATGGATAACAAGATCACAACATGAAGACTTGCAAGAATGTTAGGCCTTATGATAAAGAATAAAGAATACGGAATAAAATCTTTTTTAGCATTTTGTTTTAGAAGTTGATTAGTTTACTATAAAAATTCAGATCATTTTTTTGTCTTCTAATTAAGTATTAAAGCATGTCTAATATTATGTATGATGTTATGAAATTTTCTATGTTTATATCATTACACAATTTGTGTTAAAATGCTATATACATTTCATTTATATTATATAAAAATTATGTGGTGAGAAAAAAAGTGTTAAATGTGTATTAGAAATAGTTGTAATTTATTTGTATGACATATGTAAGTTTTAAGAAAAATTATAAATCGAAGCTTGCATTATTAATTAGTGTTGTATTAAACATGTATTAAAGTTGTTTAAAATTGTTTTAAATAAGTATAGCTAAAAGTTGACACAAATGGTAATAAATAAAAAGTATACTTAAAAGTGATAATTATTAAATAAAAAACCTTCACTTGTGTAATTTTCAATATATATATATATATATATATATCTTAAAATTATACAAAAATAAAACTTTTTCATTGAAACTTTGGATTTTAATAATTAAAAAATTAAATAATGTTATGCCTCCTATTCTTTAGACACTAATTAACTTGAGCCTCCACTAAAAATAAGCTATAATGTTGAAATCAAACCCAAGCAAAACAGGGAGAAATTAAATGAAAAGAAATTATCTTTTTCGAAGCAGCATTCTGATATGTCGAAGTGATAAAATGCTTCCATCACCACGAGGCCTGACATAAGATAAATAGGTTTAATATTCTTATAATAATTAAATTCATAAAATTTAAATTATAATTTTTATTTTATTTATTCCCTTATAATTATATATATTCACAAATTTTTTTGACAACACATTTAACATGGTTTTATATTCGATTAATAATAATATGTAAAAAATATTATTTCTTTATTTTCGTATGCCATTAATATATTTTTCTTTATTTACTGTGCATATTAATAATTTGATTTTATTTAAAATTTAAAATTTTGTAGCATTGCAATTTACGTGAGAATAAATATATTATCCTATTACGGTTAAGCTTTGAATTTGTTTTTCCTAAAGTAAATTAGGATTTTAAATTTTGCTTCCTATAAAAGAAAAAACTAAAGAATTTTGGTATGTGTAATTTGTTTTACAGCTAATTGTATTCGTATTTGTTAACTTTAACAAGATACTATTTCATTAAATAATTTCCTTTTATATAATTGCTTCATTAATTTATTTTCCATTAAGATTAGATTTTTGAATCCTACTTAAGTTAATGGCTATATATTATGCATATTAATGATTTTAATATTACTTAAAATTTTAAATTTTGTAGCTCTGCAATTTATGTAAGAACATTAATATATTTTCTTATTGTGGTTAAATATGCTATATTTCATTATATAATTTCCTTTTATATTTTATTTTACTTAAAAATTTAATTTTGTAGCACTGCAATTAATGTTAGAACATTAATATATTTTCCTATTATGGATAAGCTTTAGATTTGTTTTTGCCAAAGTAAATGAGGATTTTGATTTTGCTTCTTATAAAAAAAAACTTAAAATTTTAATATGTGATTTATTTTACAGCTAATTGTAACTTCAACATGATATTTCATTATATAATTTCCCTTTATATCATTGCATCATTAATTTATTTCCCATTAAAGTTAAATCTTTGAATCTTATTCAAGTCAATGTCTATTTAATGTTAATGCATATAAATAAATTCAAGTTTACTTTAGATTTGAAATTACTTTAATTTGTAATTTATGTTATTTCTAATTAAAATCAAATATTATTATTGTCTATTTGATAATTAATTTATGCAAAATATTAAGATATTTCCTATTATAGATCACTTTCTGATTTATTTTTGTTAATATATTGTTTTGTTTATTATACAAAAAGTTTTTTTAAAAAACAAAATGGATTCATTTTGTCTTTTTAAAATCATTTTCATATTTTCTAACTTTTACTTAATAAATTTCATGAATGTATTAAAATATTTGATTAAAAATTATATTTTAATAATGTGGTGAATATACAAAATATATTTACAGAATTTCCTTATTTTCTCTATGATGAAAACATTATTTTTATTTATGTTATTTGACTAAAAAATCAATTAATATATCATTTAATAAGAAAATTGTGTATATAAATAAGTGCAATGTCATCATTTTATAAGCATCATTTGTTGAAAAACGTTTTATTTAGGCATGGAGAGAAAAAAAACTAAAGGACGTCAAAAGATACCAATGAAAAAAATTGAAAATAAGGATTCGATGTTTGCTTCATTTACAAAGCGTCGTGAGGGTTTGTATAGAAAAGCTAGCGAACTCGCTACAGAATACAATGTTGACATTGGAATAATGATGATTTCCTCTACTGGTAAGCCTCATTCCTTTTTTCACCCAACATTTGATGCAGTTATTTCTCGTTTTCAGAATCCTGATATGCAGTTTGGTGAAAGCACAAATCTAGAGGCAAATGCTGCTAGAAATGAAGTGAATCAACTCAAAACTAAGCTTGAAGAACTTGATGTCAGAGAAGACATTGCAATTGCTAAGAAAAATTCTTATGAACAAATGGAAGAAACAAGACAAAAAGATTGGTGGGAGTCGACTGAGCAGCTCAATGCAGATCAAGTGTTCATATTTGAAACTTGGTTGAATGAAACTAGTTCTAACTTACACCATCGTTTAAATCAATTAGAAATTGAAGCTTCATCCTCAATGAGACATGAATCTTTTGGAGTGTGAAATTTGAAATGTTCAAATTGCAAATGTTTCACCCTAAATTATCACTTATGGATATATTTGGGAAGACTCTAGTAACTCTAAATCGATATTTATAATGTTGTGTTTTTTAAAAAATTATTTCAATAATGCTACAAACATGCATCTGATATGTTTTTCATTAATAATATATTGATATGGTTAGTCTGGATTATTGTTTATGAGAGCAAAATTTCACGTGTTTAGAAATAATATATATATATCGACAGAACATATCAATGACTGCATAAAATTGAGATTAAATTTCAATTAAACATCTCAACTAAAATTTATTTATTTTAAGCACATCAAATAAGACTTGACGATGTCATTTCAACATGTTTTATTAAGTCGGCACATTTCTACATGTTTTACTAAGTCGGCACATTTCAACACGTTTTACTAGAAATGACAATGGGGCGAGGCGAATGCGGGGCGGAGTGGGTGGGATGCGGTGCATATTGATGTGGGTGTTTTATAAACTAATGCGGAATAGGGAAGATTGTGGATATATATGATTTTATGATGGTTCAAATTTAAATTTAACTTTTTATTTGTTATAAGAGTGATAAAACATTATTTTTTCAGATAAATTTTATAAAGCTACTAAAATATTCAAGATAGTAAATCAAAATGGTTCAATAAAAAATATACAATTTCTTACATATTTTCTAATGACCTCTAAAAATAACTTTATTTTCATAAATTTTATTTTAGAATCAAACTTATCTTGAAAAAAAATATTTAAAAATTTATGCGGTGTGGTTAGGAGTGGGGTGGGACAGATTGAAAATGAAAAAAATTATTATGTGGACATGGTAAGACATATTAAAAAATATGTGGGTTAAGCTTAACCGCCACTGCCCTATTGTCATCCATACGTTTTACTAAGTCTACACAACTTTACATGTTTTAATAATGTCATGATTGATAAAAGAGGAGAAGATTTTAAATGGGGGAGAAAAAAAAGAATTGCATATATTTTTTATCTTCTTCTTTATTGAAATTTAGATTTTATTAAAAGTAATTTACTAAATAAATTTAAACATGGATTTTGTTCACAATCTATTTTCAACAACTAGTTTTGGTATATATGTCACATGTTTTTATTTAATTCACTACTTTGACATATCATTAGCAAGTGTGTTACACGCATCTTAATATCTAAATGATTGATAAAAAGTTTCAAAATGACATAATGAAATTCCGAATGAGGTGTTTAAAATGAACAAACCCTAATAATGAGGTATCTAAGTAAAAGTTGATGTCAATTTTAGGTGGTCACCGGCACTTTTTGCTTAATATATTGCATACAAAAGCATTTGTATACATTACATCAATGAATCGTGATTAATTTTTCCTCTCAATTGATTTCTGATTTAAAATAAATATTTTATTGGTTTAATATACCACAAACATAATAAATTACAGTTGAAAACAAAATGACAAAAATGTATAAACAAATTCTTTAGGCTGAGAGATAGATATTTCGCTATCTTTGAAGAGATTCAAGCCCACTGCGGCATAATCTACACCGATCCAACAATAATACTCTTGATTTGTCCTTTAAAGATACAACAATCCAACAACATCGTACAACTCAAACAACTTCAGATTTTGTTAGAGAGTCCAAAGCTTCATACAAGAACACCTTCCTTCAACATATAAATATTCACTTTTCTATAGTGAATATAGTTGAAGACTTAGAGTATTTTCTTTGTCTTAATTCTCTCTTTCACTACACTTATCTTACTATACACTACAATATATTTTACACATCTCATATAGTTTTGATATCCCCTTCATAAATATCGTTATTTATAAGGGAGAAATTCTTTTTTGTATTTAATAGAATAATATATATATATATATATAATGAGGTAGAATAATGAGTGAAATTAATGGTATAACATGTTAATAATGGTTATAAGAGTTACACCAAATAATGATCACATTCTCATCAACTTATAGGACTTATGCACTTAATATTTTAATATTAAAATGCATATACACCAACATATAGTTCATATATTTTTTCTGATAATATATACCATGACACAAAAGAATGAATTCTTCAGAGTAGTAAATATATGTTAGATTTTTCTAACACAAGGGGGCGAAAAGGAGCAACTATGAAATACTCGATAAATTAATAATCTCCCTCTAAGATAATGTAACACTCCGAAATTATCTAAGTTAATTAAGACTCGAATCATTCTTCATTCACTTGAAGGGTTATATCAGGTGATTCTTAAATTACTTATATATGTAAAGGTAAATTTTTTAGTGTGGAATAATTTTTTGTATTAATTAAGGTAACTAGAATCTCCTAACATAAAATTGAGTTAAAAGTTTCCTTACCGATTAAGTTTTGATGTAAGATTGTACTGACTTCACACGACCATCTCTTAGAATATAAGAGTTATGTGACCTATAACCTATCAAATTAAATGTATTTAAATTTACTTTCGACGTCACTAATTTTGCATCAACATAATTTTGAGCAAAAACTTATGAACATTTTAGTAACTGATACTGATATGTGTAAAAGGATGGTAAGTTTTTGGTCACTAGTACAATTTCTTTTGCTGACAACTATATACTCTATAGTGATAATTTCATAATATTCCTTCAATAAAATGCTCTTGTCCTTTGAGTGATATACTGTACGATTGCAAAAATTTACACCTTTGAGGACATCATGATATTCAAGATTATAAGTTAATGGCTAAATATATAAACAGATTTTTAAATTTGTTAGTTTTTTCTCTTCAGGTACCTTAACTATATCATTTTCCTATTGAAATATTGAACTATCCATAATTTATTCCTTTTAAACATCATTAATGTGACATGAATTAAAAGATTTCAATGACATTGTAATTATAAAAAAACGTGATTTGCGATTGTTTCCTTTAAAATATTAGACAAAAGTCTTATATAAAGAAATATTTAATACATGGCTTTCAAATTGAACTTCTATGCCTAATATGATTTCTATCCCAAAGTGCAATAGGACATCAACTCTCAACAAATTTTACAACAAAAACTAATTTCACAACAATTCTACAAGGATTCTTCATTTAAATAATAATAATAATAATAATAATAATAATAATAATAATAATAATAATAATAATATAAGTATAAATAACAAATATCTGTCGAACTCCATGTTATGTGTAATTATATAAATATTGTATAACACTGTATATGAATATATATTACATTATGTGTAATTATATAAATATTGTATAACACTGTATATGAATATATATTACATTAGCTACAAACTATTTGCCTCAATGATATACATATGTAAGAATCCCATAAATGGGAAAATAATTGATCATCAAATGTATTACAAGTTATTTAACTAATTAAAATTTACTAAAATGATGTAAACCGAATCTATTAGAGGATTTTAATTAATTAAAAAGAAAAATGTCAAAAACACATTCAAACTAATTCATTTTTTTTAGTTTTATATCTGAACTATTAAGAGTGTGAGTTTCATACCAAAACTATCATCATTTAGTTTGAGAAACACCTCACTGTTATGTGTAATTCACTTTCTTTTTTATTTGAAAAAACTGACACATGACATTTCATATGAATAAAATATTTAACATTTACAAAAATTAAAGTAATAACCTATTAATATTAATTAAAAATGAAATATTAAAGTATTACTATCTAAAAAAATTAAAAAATTAAATTATTTTTCTTACCCCACTCCACCACCTCCTCCACGTACCCTCTCCCTCCAAAAATATAACCACCCAC